ACTACTAATTTACAATCCGACTCAAAAACAGCATGACTAATATTCAAGGATTGAGCAAAGCAAATTGCAAAAAGCAAGGCACAGGCTTCCCCAACAGCAGGAGATAAAACGAGCCTCACAAATGAGCACCCTGAGATTAATTGACCAAGCTCATTACGACAAACCACTGCAATGGCAGCTCGATGACTATGTGGATCAAAAACAGTGTCACAATTAAATTTATACCATCCAACTGAAGGTTTTTGCCATTTTATATCAGATGATAATCTCAATCCAGCTAAGGATGGTATTTGCAGCCTGTCATGCTCTTTTGCGGAGAGGAATTCTTGCAATAATACACTAGCTTTATAAACTGTTTGAGTGGGGCTTTCTTGACTTTGCTCGAAAATTCTCTTATTTCGGGCACACCAAATTTGCCAACACAAAGTGGCCACTCTTTCCAAAATAAGCCTTTCATCATTTTTAAAGTTGCTGCAAAGCAGTGCCCACCAATCGCCAAAGTCAGAAAGTGAATTTTCATCTGGTATAAAACCCAGATTAGAAATAAACCAGGAGGCTTTTGCATGAGGGCAGAAAAACAACAAATGGGGGATGTTTTCGTCCTTAGCCTGGCAACTAGAGCAAAGAGGAGACTCCACAACTCCTCTACGATATAAGTTTACTTGAGAAGGGAGAGCATTGTGACAAGTTCGCCATATGAATAGCTGAACCTTAGGAGGAACTCTTAACTTCCAAATGCTCTTCCAAAAGGCTGAAGGCCTAGAAGCAGATGGCTGTGTAGCCATGGAAAGAGAGGCAGCAACAAAGTAAGCAGTTTTAACAGAGAAATCCCCACTCTTAGTGTAATGCCACACAATAGTATCACATGAAGCTGCCAAAGGGATCTTAAGAATTCCATTCACTTCATATGGTTGAAATAAAGCATTTAATTTCCTAGTATCCCAAGTTCCACGCGCGGACACCAAGTTACTCACTTTCAAATTCTCCTTATCAGGAGGAACAGGAGATAAAATGCGAAAGGATGGGAGCATAGGAACCCATGCATCAGACCACACATTAACCGACTCCCCTGATCCAATATTCCATCGTAATCCATGCTGAAGCAAGTTTCTTCCTTTAAGTAGGCTTTTCCATGCCCAAGATGGATTACTTCCCTCCTGAGCATTAACAAAGTCCACATCTGGAAAATAGATAGCTTTCAAGACTTGTGCCCACAAAGCATTTGGGTGATTAATTAATCTCCATGCTTGTCGGGCAAGAAGGGCCAAATTAAAGCACTCTAAATCCTTAAATCCCAACCCTCCGTGCCATTTACTAGTGACCATTTTAGTCCAGGGGATCCAACTAATTCTCTTCTCTTGTTCTTGTTGACCCCACCAAAATGCTCTAATCTCTTTATTGATGAGAGAGCAAATTCGTACCGAAAACTTAAAGCAAGCCATAGCATAGGAAGGCATGGCTAACACAACTGCCTTAATTAGTACTTCACGACCAGCTTGCGAAAGCAGGGCTCTTTTCCATCCTTGCAACCTAGCTGTTACTTTATCTACCAGATATTGTAAACTAGCTTGCTTTGACCTACCCCATGATGTTGGTAGGCCTAAATACTTGGAGACTGAAGAATCGCTTCTGATTGCGAACTGGGCACAAATCTCTGTCCTTCTACAAAAGGGGGTATTATTGCTAAATATAATAGCAGATTTAGAGAAATTAACCTGCTGGCCCGATGCAACAGCATATTGCCTCAAAATCTCCAAAATCTGAACAGCTTCTTGGTATGTTGCCTTCCCAAAGACAAGGGTACCATCAGCAAAGAGTAGATGAGATATTTTCGGACATCCCCTTTTGATTTGAAAGCCGGAAATGTACCTCTGCCTTTCAGCTTCATTAAACATGCGAGATAAAACATCAGAGACAAATAAGTAGAGATAAGGTAAAAGTGGGTCGCCTTGGCGTAGCCCCCTTTTTGGATAAAACAAAGGCATGGATTTGCCATTCACAATAAGAGAACAAGAAACAGTAGTTACACATTGCATGATCCACTGCACCCAACGCTCACAAAAACCAAAAGCTCAGAGCACATCTTGTAAGAAAGACCATCGAACACTATCATAAGCTTTGCGAATATCAAGTTTGACAGCCATGTAAGGACACCCTTTATTGCGTCTGAGCTTGAGAGAATGGAATGCTTCATGAGCAACAAGGATGTTGTCCTGTATCATCCTGCCGGGCACAAAAGCTGACTGAAGGGGAGAAATCAAACAATCAAGCAACCCTTTCAATCGATTAGCCAAGATCTTTGCTATTATTTTATATGAAAAATTGCAAAGAGAGATGGGTCTATACTGAGATATCATCT